AGCTATTGCATTCTTAATGCTCTGGTGGCTTACGGGCTTCCATCACCCTTGATGCTTTGCGAAATTTCTTCTGTTTGCTAAGCCCTTTGATGGGTTTCTCATTTAATGGGAAATTTTCAAACATTTGAACTTAGGCTTCGCCCATAATTTTTGCCTTTTTTTTTTGGTGGGGTTGGGCCTTTTACTAAAGCCCTCATCTTTGAAGAGAAGCCCACAATTTTTGGGCTATGGGGGACGCGTTTTTTCCAGCGAGATATCACGTTTCCTCTAAATCGCCTGATATTACTCCATATAGATGGGATCTTTACTTAGCAAATCGTTTGCCTCTTCAGTCAGCTGATCATCATTCATCATATCCTCCTCTGTGTAAAAATCCTCGCACATTTTCCATTCATCATCGTCGAGGTTCCATTCATCATCGCCGGACTCCTCTGATACCACTGTCGCTTTTCCCTTTCCCAATTGAGTAGCATCGGGTTCCATAGTTTTGTTATCGTTCTCATCGATAACTGCCAATCTCTCCATCTCGGCCATGAATTGGGTAGCTCTTACCTCTGGTTGGTTGAAATTATGAGCTGCTTCTTCCTCCTCCTCTTCAAGGGTTATCTCGTACCAGCTCTTTTTCTTGGAATCGGGATAGGCACTTTTGGATTTAGTAAGCATCGGTTTACTCCATATAGCTTTCTAAAAATCTCATTATTAGGCTTTAATAAAAACAGAAGTTAAACGAACAAAAAAGAAAAAGGACTTTTAAAACTGTAGAGACGAGTGAAAAGTCAGATTGGAAAATAATTGGCTGTCAAGACTGTTAAAATGTTGTACATCCCTTACAGTGCAATGCCAATCACCCCGTAGACTCTTCTTATTCAGACTTCAACGTCACATGTTGATGAAAGTACGTAATTAGTGATACCAAACTTTGAAGTTGTCTCCTTAAAATTTGTTTAGAGGGTACAAAATGGAAATTATTGCACTTTGAAGGTGTTTGTGGTTAACAAGAAAAACCAGTACCAGTTTAGGGTTCTCCTTCATGCGTTAGAGTTCGAAGCAACAACACTTACTTCAACTAAAGAAGCATCTTGAATTCCCTACCATGGAGGAATTATTTTCAGCTGATTCATCTATATTTTTTTCGTCTACCGACTCCATTGTACTGAATTTCTTCAATTTATTGGTTGAAGCTAAAAGCGATGAAAGACAAGAAACTTCAGATAAGCATTATTGCTTTGATTTATCTAAACATGCTAGTGTGATCTTCACCATTGCAATAGATAAACGTTACCCTTGATGAAAAACCAACTTTTATCAAATTCATATGAAGTAATAGTTCAAATAATTATTTACTGGGACAATATGATATTCGAAAGGCGATTGTAAATTAATGAATAGTGTTTGGAATTGGAAACACTAATCTTATTCTCTTATACGGTTGTACCTCAGAATCTTTATGCCCGATTCGAAACTACACCTATATTTGTGATATCCATTTTGTTTGGAAATTGTGTTATACAACGAACTTCAGGGAGAGTGGATTTTAGAATTGCTCTCCGTTTTGGGTGCGATACGATTACCCTAATCGTTGCTTACCAACGAATGTTAATCTGTTTTGGATGCGATGCGATTCATTAACTTTTTGAGTGTGATTACTTCTTAATAAATTGTACATAACTCAAATTGCACCAAAAAGCTACGATTGAGGTGCGATTATGTATTCTTATTCTTCATTTTACAATTTTACCCTCATTTATATTTGATAATCATATTAAAACTTATAATTATTAATTG